AAAAGTAGTTGCATGAAATGGAATTTCCGTTTAAACACTCAGGGAAGATTTTGGAAAGACCCCCTTAGTATTCCTATTGACTGCTTTGGGGTTACTCAGGCAAATGAACTTTGGCAATTAAAATTTATTAAGACGTTGGGTAGAAAAGATAGGGATCCGCGTCTACTGGTCCCTCAGTCTGGAGTTGATGAAGAAATGGTTAAACTCAAAATTTAACTCACCCATGGGCAGTAACCTGGCTCTCACATTTTAAGCTTTATGACAAGTTAATATTTGGAACTGACCTATGGGAATTAGTCTGTGTGTTAGGATATGAAGTCAAATATGCCCATTAATCATATTGGTATTTAACTTGGAAGTAAAAACATTTTACCATTTAAACTCCTGTATGACTTTGAATGAACTCAATTAAGCAACTGTACACAGTTGAAAAAGCAATTGTGAATGCAGTTTTGCTAAATGATTCCCTTCATGAGTGAATCTACATCGCAGGCATTAATAATTATTTAATAAAGGAACCAATTCTTAAATATTTTAATTAAAATGCTGTAAGAAAATTACAAAATTAATTCTTTATAAATCACCTATCTTTGATTATTAAAGAGGCAATATTGCGTTTCTTTGTTAATATAAGAAAGAACCGTACAATTTCAAAATACTAGATGGAGATACACAGTTTATCGTCATGATTAAAGAAGTAAAATAATTTCAGTCAAATTAACCTTTTCGATTTGTGCTGTGGCGGTGGTATTGGCGATATTGTGGTCATCTTCAGCGCAAGGTAAAAGGCACATTGAAAATGAAGTTTATTTAATTATCACTCCAGACGCAATTATTGATCTCAACCAACTTATTAGATATCTGATTTAACGAGCTGATGATTCAAACAAGTCATTTTTATCAACTCTGGGTATTGAAAAAACACTAGTAACAACCAATAAGCTTTAACTTGACAGGTAGAACATATTGAGTGTACAATAGTGATATGTATTCCGTTCGCTGTGAGTCAATAAACTAAGATGGATCTCCTTGGGATTTTTTCTGAGCATTTTATGAGCAAAGCAAAAGTGTTCTTGATAGGTCTAACAATAGACAACTATAGATTGTAAATGAAACTATCAAGAGTTGATAGTAGAATGAGAGAATATTGGCACAGGAGGTAGAAAGGTTATCGAACAAATGAGTGAGACACCGGGAACCGTGATCTTGTGCGGACGTACGAAAACCAGCAATTACATAATACAGAAAAATTAAGTGAGTCAGTAAGTGGCAAATGGTATTCAAAATTAGGAGTCGATATGCTGCAGGTGAGCTTTAGGATGAAAGTCCATGCTTGCATTCGGTATACGTATATACTCGAATATATAAATAACTTTGCATAAAAGTCATTTAAACGGACGCTTTATTCAAAAATTATTTCAAGAATCATTCAGAGGGGTGTGGGGGGGGAGGAGGTAATGGAGGAGATGCGTCGACAATATTATAATCTCAAAGTGAAATTTAAAGTTCACTTCTTTTCATTATAGCTAGAGCATATGCTTATCACAGAAGTTCGCGTCCATGTACTAACACCACAGGCGATTGGATCAGAGGAAGACGCAGATACTTGGAGAGGCATAGCCATTTGGACATTTCCCATCTGTATGATTCTATTCTTCTTAATTGCGTTAACCGCATGGACTGCCTCAATCCGATGGGATGATTTGCTTTATCATCCACCTATGAAACCCAAAAAGCACGAAGACAAGAAGAAAGGAGACGATTTGGAAGTTGTTCAGCAAAGGAAGTTGGATTATTCGGAATTGGAACACCTCCATGCAGATAGGAATATGGAGGTATTCAACTTTAATCCGGAAAAGTTTATGAGAGAAGACCTTAAGAGACAAGGAGTTCCTTCGAGGAAGGAGAAAGGCGAACTTATTTGGTAAATAGAAAAATTTGAATTGAAAAGAACATTTTTTTCGTTTTGCTGGGAAAATACATAAGAACAAGGACGCGGCCACTGGTTGATTTATTCTGACTAATATTAATGAATTAAAATAAATTAAAAGATTGTATATGATACTCCTTCTAATCTGAAATTGAAATAGTGGGAATAGCGTACACACTTTATCCGTAATATACTCACTGAATAAACGTGTTCCGTGCTACACGTCTATACCCGTACTGAAAAAACGTGCTCCGTGCTACACGTCTGAATCCTTTATAGCTGGGCTATAGCTTAGCTGGTTCTGGGAGTCTAGCTAGATGTTGGAGAATCTGCCATAGAGATTTCTGAATCGGCTAGGCTTTAATAAGGTAGCAATCCGCTACAAGCAGATACTTCAGAAATATTTGGTAGAATTTTATTGCCGTATAGTAGCATTTTCGTGTTAGCAGAGCCATTTAATGGAAATTGGTGTGGAATATTATAAAGCCGACTAAATCCCATTATAGCAGAATAGTGATAGCTAAAATTTGAACTTAATAAAGTTCAATAAAAATGATAGATTTCATTAATCGGACTATTCAGTTAACTTTCCATACATTGTTGTAAGATGAATTGGTGTGAGTGGCAAGCGCTTCTGAAGTGACCATTTTTGTTATCTTGAGTTTCTGATTTGCAGTAAAGCTTTGCATAACTCTCGATTAGAAGTAGTTCGCGCCATTACTGAATTACAGTACTATTTGTAATTCATAAATCGTTAATCATACTCTCATCGGCCTGTAGGAAACAGGACTCACAGTTAAGCTGCTGTTTCAATAAAAATCTATAAAATTAAATCCATATAAAGTCATGCTATGTTCGCCAATACTAACACAGTAACGTATTAATTAGAGGTTTATAATCAATACCTCTCACCAACTGACAAACTTTGTGGTAGCTTTAATTCAATTAAGCCGATTTGCAGTGGTTAGTGGACACATTTGACTAGTGATAACTTACGGAATGAACTTCCGTTGATTTAAATAAAACCACAAGAAGTACCGGTTAGTTTACCTGCCAATTGATAATTTCCCAACTGACTATTAAAAGTTACATACAGCCGTACAAACCAAAAAATAAAGAAATAAACACGGGTTTAATGAAGGAAACGAGATTTAACGTCAAGGAGAGAACATATTTATTTTAGCTAGAAGTGTTTACGGAAATGGAAAGGAATTGCACTGCACCAAGCCACTGGATCATAATTCCAAAGACTTGAAAAAGACAGGGGATTGTTAGTTTCTAGAGGCATTGAGAACAAGATTGATGGAAAAGGCCGAATGCGTGGATATAGTGGAATTCGGACTCACATGAATCTCAATTTTCAGGCAAGGGTAATTTTGGTAACAGATGCGATGTAAAATGGTAATCTAATATGAGGGTGACCAATGGGATGATTTCATAAGCAATCACAATTGGATTTGATATTAGAGTTGACGTGAGTAAAGTGTCATATGATAGCAAAATATGAAATGAATAAACCTTCTGGAAGTGATGAAGATGTAAATTCACTAAATTAAGTTAAGATTCACACTAAGCGGTAGGTGCAGAATGGTCTAGTAATCAATTCACCACGCTACACCCTCTTCTCGAGACTTGCAAAGCTAATCATCAAAGCAACATGTCTCAGTAGGTTATTAGTTCTCCAAGAAGGAGAAAAGTAGCATTTACATCTCTGGGGCGCTTTATTTGATCAATTTATTAAAACTCATTGAATTATCTAACAATTCACATGATTGCGTATGAGACAAACAAAAATGTAATTTTTAAATAATATTTATTTATTTATTTCAAATGGCAGGCGTCTTAATGGTTATCATTAGCCCTTTAGTTGGCTTCAGGCTTCACGGAGAGGAGGAGGAATATCAAAGTGACAAAAAAGTCGAGAGGGGAGGGGGGAACAGAGGTGTTTCAAATATAAAGGTAGAAAGGGTAAAAAAAGGAAGAAAAAAGGTGAGATGAGTACTGTGGAAGTAGTCGAATATGACATAGAGTGTGGTGATGGTAGTTTGAAGTGAGAAGTCAACTGCCAGTTAATAGACTCTTTTGCCGTATAAGTATACGTTGCCCAGGATGCACCACGTGAAGGTAAGTCTATTGCGCACCCAAGTCAACTATCATAAAGCCTGCCATTTGATATTAACATATATTTAGAATTTGTGCCTGTCAGTTTATTTCTGTCTGCCAATTTCTAGACCCACCTTTAAGACAGTCCGGTATTATTTATGCTTCACGGTTTTAGAACTTCCTTTTAAACCACAAATCATTAAAATAAAACAGTTTTAGGCTGATTGTTTCAGATAGACCTAAAAGTGCCATTTCTGTGTTCTGGGTAAGAAAGTTATGCTTAATTTTGAGTTCTCTGACATTTTTCCAACATCGTTAAGGTGAGACTTGTCAAATGCGGATGCACTTAGAAACCTTAATTCATCATTATTGTTTACTATGTATTTGATGCCTTCATGTTTTGATGG